TTGAATAAAACTCATAATGAGTAATTCAATCAAAAATTGACTTTTCTTTCCATCATATCAATCTCTTAGTAAAATCTGAGATCCATACAATAAATAATTCATTTGCAAAATGTCAATCACTCATCTCAGACTTTATTGTTCTTTCTACCTGAAGTTAGTGCTGACGATATCGTTCAGAAGAACGATGAAAACCTCGCTACCAAGCTATTCAGCTTAGAGAACAAAACTCTATCAAAATCATCCACCTGAGTTACGATTCCTTCCCTACCATCTTATTGTTACTTCATATCCACAGCAACCATTGTCTTTTCTTCTATTTTCTTAATCTTCTACTGCCAGGCAATTAACATTTGATTGATGATACATATTACTTATATCTATCGACATCAGTAGCATATACTATAATACGTTTATTCACACATTTCTTTATGTCATGAAGTTTTTGATGTTATGCAATATATATATATATATATATATATATGTCTTTGGAGTGAATTGTTAACTATTAGATAAGGAAGAAGATTTGAAATTACGTTCTCTGAGCTATGTGATTCAGTTATGAAGCTTTTATCGTTTTCCAAGACATCAGCAATATTAACTTCAGATAACAATGAACCACAGGCTTATAATCAATTTCAAAATCGTTAAATACCTAATCACATCTTGGTATTTACTAATCGAGAACCATCTTAAGACCATCTGATAAGGTTATATTATATGCTTACTTAGTCAATTCTCTAATTTGTATACCTTCAACTATGTATTAAGAAGGTTGATTTAATTGTTTATATCATTCAGATTAAAAATAACTTACTATTGTCTTTTTGGTTGATTGTTTGAGTAGCTACATTCATATTTTAATATAAGTTGTAATAAACATTAAAAATAGGCTTATTGAATGTAAGATTTCCGTTTTTCCAAAAAAAAAAAAAAACAGTTGTTGTTGTTAACGATTCAGATGAATTTAAAGAGAATACAAATAGTTTGTTATTGGAAAATGTTTTCCTTATCATTAAATCAGTCTTTACTCAACTATTTCTCTCTCAATATGATTCAGAATAGATTGTTCACCTTCTATTTCTTTTTTATATATTTCTATTGACATCATTCAAAATTCGTCAGATAATAATCACAATATTATGACAATACAATCAGACTGTTAAAGAGGTTAGGAAATAACTGTGAAGCATTATAATTATATGTTTTATCAGACGGTTCTAAAGAATGTTCAACTCAGTTGAATGACATTGGCATTCAAACAGTACTGAGATGTCATCAGAAACCTAGTATGTATATTTTTAAATAATGTGGCTTATAAGGATTATGATAACTTCGAACTAGACATTTCATATACTTCTGAAGAAAAATCATCAATGTTGAAATAAATTTCATTTTATTTGAAAGCATCTATAGACATAGTTGAAAGAATGACAATGAACTATAATCATCCATAACTGTATAAAAGTTTGTTAAATCTTCATTTTCAACTTTTATAGTTGTTTACGTAGTAGTATCGATTTCATGTGATTACTTAACATGCGATTCTTCACTACAGTTTTAGAAAATGATCAGTCAGTTGGAACGTAGGATCAGGCACACATATGCATCAGTCTAAGTTTTCATACCTCATTGTCACAACATGATAAACACCAAATTCAGAGAAGTAGTTACTTCAATGTGTTAGGTTTGAAGCTTCACGAGTTCACTTAATTTGCGAACGAGAACGAGATTCGGTGACCAAAGAACCAGTAAGCTAGCTAATGACGTGTCCCAGCCCCAGCTATCTAGAGGGAGAAGTACAGGCTTGAAATGAGAAGTATATTCTGCAACAACCAGAAACGAGCGATTTCAACAAAACAATTTAAAACGTATATATATAAATTTATATAATCGATATTGTCATATAAATTTTTAAACATTGATCGATAAGTTCGTCAATTGACTACCACTCAAATATTTAAACATTTAATCGATAAGTTAATCGATAAGATAAAATTACAATTGTGCGTTTTTGGGGGATCTATCGTCCCTAACATAATGGTAGTAATATATAAAAAAAAGATAAAATACAGTAAGAAAAAATTAGTTTGTAGAAAGAAAGGTATAAAGCAATTTTAATCTCACGATTTAAGGGAAGACAAAAAGTATATACACCTACGTCATTGTGATCGATTATGAGTCAATGTCACCTAGAGTCTCCAACCATTGGTTACAATAGTCACGCGGACCCCAACCAAGTAGTCTGCATCTACCAATGATAGTAATTAGATGATTCTCATCAAGATGAGAATTAATTAGGTATGAGGATTATATTATCGTACTTTTATCGGCGGCCTGCTTGAATATCTGGGCTACCTGTTCCTCCCATCTAGATATTTCGTCAAGTTATCTGTTTTCTTGTTTGTTTTAACACATTATTATGTCTATTGAGCTCACAACTTATTCAGGCGCGTTTATGAAAAGTTTACAACCTTTCGCTTTATGGATTACAAAAGGTATAACCAGCGACATCATGGTGGCTTGCAATATGCATTGAAACGAATGAACATTATTCAGATGTCGATTATCGAACTCCTAACATCTAACTGGCCATCACTCAATATTTATTGTCAGGATCGATTAAGATATAAGAAAAGGAAACTTGTTGAAATAACTTGTACTGAGAATGATATATTGTATCAAAAATATAATGTTGAATAAAGCTTATAATAATAATAATAATAATAATAATAATAATAATAATAATAAAAATAATAATTAATGATTTACTTCTCTTGAAATGAATGTAGAATTTTAGAAAAAAATTGAAAACCAGCTACTATTATATAGGACTGTAGTAAGCCCACTCAACTACTGTATTATTTATCTGCTCACTGTAATTTAGACACTTGATCCACCATGTAATTTTCTGTGTGAGTCTGATTGAGCACATATCTGCACATCAATTTCCAATTTATTATCCCATTGTTTGTAACACACAGACAATCAATAATTTATCCATACTTGATTAACACTCAAAAAATATATATTGACTTTTAACATACACACAAATTCTTGGTTTCCCTGTGTGCTTGCTTCCTGTACGTTTGCTGATATTATCAATCTTTAACAATAAACTATCTCTATAACTGGTGTTCAGTCTTTTGAATAATCTCGAGTAAATCTATAATTCTACCAGGAGATTTAGACTGAATTTAATACTCAGTTAACTGGATAATATTTATCAGAGTCGGATAAAGAGAAAATTAGCCTATAAAAAACCATGTTTTTCTTCAGTTCAAAGGTAGTTCACATTACGAAGCTAAGCTACTGAGTGAATGATTTAAAAACAGATCTAATTAAACAATCATTTAATCTTAACTAAAAACCCTTCACTAATATTCATCTTCAGCTTTCTATGAGATCGAATCCTTGATATTTAGGTTTCATTGTGATCACATTAATGTTAAGCCTATGAATATGAATTCCCTTGTTCTTATCTATATAATTACATTTGACTGTGACTTCTTTGTTTATAACAGTTATTTTAGTTGATGCTAACTCTTGGAGAAATTGTATTTAAATAGACTATGAATTTCGTTCCATTGACAATTGTATATATATAATAAGGGATTGGTGTTGTAATTTATGCACAGATATTTGACCAAAATAGTGTGGAAGTTGATTATTTTATCAAATAACAACTGATGAATCAAAGATAAAATAGAAAGGTTATAAACTAACCAATATAGTTGTACTTGTATCAATTCATATCCCAATTATATTCAAAAGAAATGAATCAGATTTTATACTGAAACATTATCTAATCAACTTTATCTTCTCAAATTTATAGGTGAGCCCTGCTTATTTATTCTTTTATTTATCAACTATTTGATATGACAAATTAAATATCATTTATTATAAATATCTAGTTCATAAAGATTTATGAGTCAGATAGAAAAAAATAACTTGGGTAGCAACTGATTTTTACATGATAAACTTTTCTCTCTCTCTCTCTCATAATTATACAGTAAATTTATTCACATCAGAAGGGGTTTTCGTGGATATTATAGTAATGTCAATAGTTAAGATCATGAGTTCATTGGAGCTAGACCACCATGGAAAACCATAAAAACCTGGGTCTGTTGTGAGATAGTAACTCACTGAAGATTATGGTGGATATGTCGCTCAATTTCGTGGATTCGTTGAAGTTAGACATAAACACCGTTAGATGCTGGTCAGCTCAGTGGTTTAGTGGTTAAGCGCTAGCGCGTGAGAGTGATAGGTCCTGTGTTCGAATCTCACGAGACGAGATCGTGGATGTGCACTGCTGAGGAGTCCCACAATAGGATGAAACGGCCGTCTAGTGCTTTCAGGTTTTCCATGGTAATCTAGATTCAATTGAATCACGATCTCAACTATTGAAATTACTATAATATCCACAAAAACCCCTTCTGATACCAAATACTTGATTTGATAAATCAAATATCATTTATTATAAATATCTAGTTTATAAAGATTTATGAGTCAGATAGAAAAGGATAACTTGTGTAGTAACTGATTTCTACATGATAAACTTCTCGCTTTCTCTCTCATAATTATACAGTAATTTTATTAACGCCTAGTTTGATTTTATTCAAAATAATATTATGTATATGTTTTACTTACGGTGAATAACAGTTAAATCAAACGATATCCATTAATGATGTTAAGTGTGTGTATGTGTACTATAATCTCTTGTAAAATAAGGGAAAAGAATTCCTTCGATCAATTTTCAATATAGTAAGCATTCATGACCCTGAATGTGCTCTATACAAGTTGTTGAAATACAAACAAACAATAGTAAATAATGTCATAGTAACAGCAAGAAATTAAAAAAAAATACAGTAACAATAACATTAAAACAACCTAGAAAGTAGACAAATAAGAATCTAGTCATAGGTCGTCATTTTTTAAATTTTTCTTCTTTAAATATTTAATGTCTATGCCAAGTTAAATCGATAAGATAAATATTGTCATTGATGTTATTACCATTCTTATTTTTGCTATCATCATCATCATCATCATCATCATCATCATCATCATCATCATCATCATCATCATCATCATCATCATCATCATCATCATCATCATCATCATCATCATCATCATCATCATCATCATCATCATCATCATCATCATCATCATCATCATCATCATCATCATCATCATCATCATCATCATCATCATCATCATCATCATCAAACAAGTGAATCGGTTTCAGGTGTTTTTTTTCAACAATTGATTTTTTTAAAAATAAACAAACATAATATGACCTCCAATATTTGGGTAATTGATTCAATTCCCATTTATGACCAAAAATTATAATAGCTATTGTTAAATCTACCAAATTTGTCCCAAGTTTTTGAACAATGATTAGTGTTAGTTTGGTGATTAGCGGACAAAAGTCATTTTAAAAGAGAGAATGAAGGAAGTAAATATCTGAAAGCAGCTGGAAAGAAGAATGATGTTTATTTAGCAAGAAATGATAGGCACTCAAAGTTCCAAATGCCCTGGTACGGCCAAGAGTGGGGAGTGTCAGCTCTCTTTCTCGAACTGCTCTCACATGGCCATTTGCATACAACTACTGCCAGGGGAGTCCTACTCACTGCTTTCTCAAGCCAGAGGTGTTGTTTACGAAATTGAGAAGACGAAAAGCGAATGACTGACGCTTTAATCGGTTTGGTGAATACGGAGGATCCACTTAGGGGAGTTGAAAACCCCTAATTCCAAACACGTGGTGCACATGGGCACCAAAATCTTAAGAAAACAAATGGCGTAGCAACGTATTGTTGGTCACCGGTTATCATAAAACTGCATCTCCTAAAGTTGTATCACCGCCTTGTGGATTAGACCTTCAGGTTAAAGGCTAGGGGTGTGGTCCCTTAAGAAAACTATCTACTTCAGTTTGGGCACTCGAGTAGTATCTCAGTCCTCACATAAATCGAATGATTTATGTGGCCCATATCTGTTTGATGCCTTCTTATACTAGTTTTTCTTAGTTTAAATAAATAATTATTTTGATCATTCGCATTTATATTCCTGCTAAATCGAGATAAAATAATCTCTTTCATGCTGAAATCTCTGTAATCCCTATGTGTATTTATAAATCGATATAAGTTAATTGTATTACTGAAGAATATAATATGATTTTCAGATTACTCCTTGACTAAAAGACAAATGAAATTAATGCAATCTCTAGTTGATGTTTAAATGTAAAGAACTAATCTGATTTTAATCGATAAGACATTTAAAAGCTATTCAACTAATTTCAACACAGGATGAAAGATCAATCATGGTCATACAATTCAAATGCCGTATAGTTATACTAAGTCCCCCTATAATTCTAATAGGGTTACAACCGGTCCAAAACCCGGATAAAGGAGGGATGGGTATTTGGCAAGTGAACCTATCCCATATAAAATAAACTTGCTAAAAACACTAACAAGAAAAAAATTAATTTAAGCCATTTAAACTATGTCCCCCGAGTTGAAAGAAGAATTATGAAGCTTCATGGTGAAGGCCGAGATTCTTCGGAAGTCACCAGGCCGGTGCCTCTTCTAATAACCTGAGCAACAATTAATATAGGTACATGGAATTTCCAGACAATGTGGGAGACCGGAAGGACCAGTCAACCAACTAAGGAAATGAGGAGATACAAATTGATGATGCGCGGAATCAGTGAAACCTAGTCGATTCAAGCTGGACAGTAAAGGTTAGGTACAGGAGAGATGTTGCTGTACTCCGGCCACTAAGAAGAAAATGCTCCATGAACTCAAGGATTTGCTCTGATGCTGTCCAGAAAAGCCCAACGAGCACTGAGAAGATAGGAATCTCATAGATACAGAATAATTAAACCATCGTACAAAACAAAGAAGAAGCAAATCACGATGACTGTTATCAAATTTTATGCACCCACCAATGTTAGCAATTACTACGATAAGGATCTGTCCTACGAGAGGCTGCAATCGATAGTAGAGAAGTGCCCAGGAAGAGATCTCATGGAAGATCTAAACGCCAAAGTCGGTTGTGAAGATATCATGCTACAAAATTGGGAGAAAGAAACGAGAATCGTGAGAGATTTACAAGTTTATGTGAACTCAACAAAATGATTCTAGGTGGCACTATATTCTTCCACAAAGCTACATTTATCTCACCAGATCACACTACAGAAAACCAGACCGATCATAAATGTGTCGGTAAAAAATTCACAAGGTCAGTAGAAAACGTGAGAACAGAGAGAGGAGCTGACATAGCTTCAGATCACCACCTGGTGTTTGCCAAGATGAAATTGAAGCTAAAGAAGCATTGGACAACTGGACAAACAATATCACAAAGGCTCAACACATCCATCCCTCGACATACTGACGAACTCAACGAAATCAAGATAGCTCTCAACAACAGGTTCAAAGCCTTACAGGATCTGCTTAAAGACGAAGAAACTACTATGGAGGACAACTCGAAAGGGATCAAACAAGCATTAACTTCAACGTGTCAAGCGGTTCTCAGCCACGACATGCGTCGTCATAATGAGTGGATCTCTATGGAAACCCTGGACAAGATTCAAGAAAGGAACAACAAGAAGACATCAACTAACAACAGTCGAACAAGATCAGAGAATGTTTAGACACAAGCTGAGTACACTGAAGCAAACAAGCAAGTGATGAAGAGCACTAGTGCTGATAAACGGAAATACGTAGAAGATCTAGAAACGATAGTGGAAAAGGCTGCAAGAAGAGGAAATATAAGACGACTATGTGTCAAAACAAGGGAAGTAGAAGGGAAATATAGTAAACCAGAGAGATCAGTCAAGGACGAAGAAGTCAAGCCAATAACTGGGATTCAAGGACAGAGGGACAGGTGGGTAGAATACTTTAAAAAACTCTTGAATAGACCGACCCCACTGAACCTACTGGAAGTCGCAGTAACACATAGGCTTTCTTGTAGATGTCACTCCACCAACGACCGAAGAAATCAGAATGGCCACCGGAAAAATCAACAGTGGGAAAGCAGCGGAACCCGACACTGTACCAGCTGAAGCACTGAAGTCAGATATTCAAGTAACCACAAACATGCTTCACCTTCTATTCAATAAGAATTGGAAGAGGAACAAGTGCTGACGGACTGGAAAGAAAAACACCTCATCGAGATGCCAAAGAAAGGAAATCTCAGCAAGTGTGAGAACTACGGAGGCGTTACAATAATATCATTACCAGGAAAAGGTATCGACAGAGTTCTGTTGAACTGGATGAAAGATTCAGTAGATGCTCATTTTCGAGGTCAACAAGCTGCAATAGTATATCGATCGAATCGCGACACTAAGGATTATCGTTGAACAATCAATTAAATGGAACTCATCACTATATATCACCTTCATTTATTATGAGAAAGCTCTTGACAGAGTGAATAAAGGAATCTTATGGAACCTTCTTCAATACTATGGAGTAATTAGCTCAGAAGATCGTCAATATCACTCGGAATTCATACGAAGCACTACATTGCAAAGTCGTTCATGAAGGACAGCTGACTGTCGCCTTCCAAGTGAGAACCGGAGTCAAACAAGGATGTACTTTCTTGCCCTTTCTTGTTCACCTGGCAGTAGACTGGATTATGAATACCTCTTTATTTTAGGGGAATCATGGAATACAACGGATAACTTAGGTGAAACCAGACGATTTGGACTTTAAGATGACATTGCTCTTTTATTTCATACATATTAACAATTCAGGTGATGACATCCAGTGCGTCAACAGCCACTGCATCAGTAAGCCTCGATATACTCAAGGAAAGATGCAACATCCTAAAGTACAACACAGTGAGCAACAATCCAACCACACTTCATGAAGAGTCCTTGGAAGAGGTGAAAAATTTCACGTATCTGGACAGCATCATCGATAAACAAGAAGGATCTGATTCAGACATAAAGGCAAGGGTTGGGTAAGTAAGGGTACCATTCATATAGTCGAAAAATATCTCAAACTCAAAACAACTTTCAACTAATATCAAAGTCACAATCTTTAATACGAACATCAAGACAGTTTCATTGCACGGAGGTGGAAATTGGAGAAGTACTACAACCATCATCAAAAAGGTACAAGTATTTATAAACAGTTGTCTATGCAAAATACTCTAGAACCGTTGATCAGATACCATCAGAAACAACGTACTGTGGAAAAGAACAAACCAGATCCCAGCTGAAGAGGAAATCAGGAAAAGACTCTGAAGGTGGTTAACACATACATTGTGGACATTCAGCAAACTGCATCACGAGTCAAGCCTCAAATTTGAAATCCAAAAAGAAAGGGGAAATAGAACGAAAAAGGAACACATTGAGTATTTATTTATTTATTTGAACATATAAATATTGGTACAGAGGGGCACCAAATATATATGCGCCACACAAAACAATGATAGTTTGAAGAGAAGGAGGAAAGAGAAAAAAAAAAGGTAATGAACGTGGGGAATTATAAAAAAAAAAGGGAGAGAGAGAGAACAATGGTGGGGGAAACGGAAAGGTACAATCAGAAGAGATCTTTCAGTCAAGGAAGATATAAACACTTTTTATGAAGAAAGTAAGAGGTTACAGCACGATCGCCACTGGCTTCTATTCTTAGCCATATCTGATAACGTCTCTAGCCACTGCGTTACACCGTCTCTCGGACCCCAACCAGGGAGTCGTGAAAGACGAACACAAGACAGCCCTTTGCAGCTTTCTTTCATACCACGAGACGATGTCATGCACTGACCACCTCTCCGCTTTTTCCAACCAGTCCCAGAGTCGGCAAATAATGCACGACGTGGAATTCTCTGGGACGACATTCGTAGAACATGTCCAAGCCACCGAAGTCGGTGTTTCAAGATGGTGACACCAATTTCATTATCGTTTCTGTGACCGAACACTCGATGCCGAACCTCTGCATTACTGACATGGTGTTGCCACTGGATGCCAGCAATCCTTCGGAGACAACGATGATCGAACACAGAGAGTCGTCTAACATCCTCAACTCGGAGAGGCCAGGTTTCACAAGCATAGAGCAAAACTGCTCTCACCGTCGCGTTGTAGATCCGACCTTTTACAGCCAGACTAACATCACGAAGGCGCCAAAGGTGGCCCAGATTGGCATAAGCCGCTCTGGCTTTCACTATACGAGCATTGATCTCATCACTCACACCACCACCAGCACTTATGTAGCTACCTAGATACACGAACTTC